AAGTCAAAAAGAAAAAAAGAAAAACACCATGGTTGACTCTGCTCTCCAGGAGTTGGCCTTTCTGTAATACTTGCCTTTTTCCAAACACTGCTGCTCAATGTTCAAATGACCTTATGGGATAGATGCTGTCACTGTTATCTCTATTTGACAAATGAGAAAATGAGGCACAGTGAAGGTCACAGGAGCTCAACAAGGCAGGACTGGAATATAGACAGCTGTGGTTTGGGAACAATACTCTTTTTTTAATGTTTGTTTGTACGTGTGTGTTCAGAGGGCAGTTTATGAGAGTCAGTTGTCTTTGTCCACCATGTAGGTCCTAGGGATTGAACTCATCTTTGTAGATGTATCCAACTGTCTTATTAAATAAGAAACCCAGAACCAATGCAAAGAAGAAAGCCAAGAGATCAGAGCTAAGAGCCTTACCCGCCTGCTGCAGCTGGCCTCTTCAGCCAAGAGACCTCTCCGAAAGAGAACTACTTCCTGTGTGTTTGTCTTTATATAGACTTTCTGTTCTGCCTTCTCATTGGTTGTAAAACCAACCACATGACTGCCTCATCACTGTCTGTTGTACAACCCTCCAGGTCTTCTATGATATTGAGATTAAAGGCATGTGTCTCCAATGCTGGCTGTATCCTTGAACACACAGAGATCTACCTAGCTCTGCCTACCAAGTGCTGGGATTAAAGGTGTGTGCCACCACCGTCCGGCTCTTGCTATGGCTCTAATAGCTCTGACCCCCGGGCAACTTTATTTATTAACATACAATTAAAATCACATTTCAGTACAAATAAAATACCACCATACATCTTCAGGTTTAACAGCAGGCTTCTTTACCCACTGGACCATCTTGCCAGCCCCCATCCCAGTTCCCTTAGGACTCCAACCAGGTAATATGCCCCAAGTCACACTCAGCCCAAACCCATGTTAATGACTCTCGGCCGACAACTCCCAGAGACTCTTGTAGAATTGGGTTGAAAATCCATGACTAGAAGCCACTGGACTTGCAAACAGGATTTACCCAGTCACCACAACTCCTCATTTTCCTGATCCAGTCACCAGCCTTGTGTTCCTGAGCTGAGCTGTCTTGGCTTTTCCAGCATCCTAGGAGGAACAGCACTGTAGTGCCCAGGTGCTGCATTTCATTCACACGAGAGGCTTCGGTGACCATTGGGGAGATGGCGGGAGAGGGTAGGGATGTGCATGGGGGCCACGGGAAGGAGACATACTGGCACCTGTACGCTTATTTAGGGTGAGGGATGGTTCAGTCAGTAACATGCTTGCCTTGTAAGCAGAAGGATCTGTGTTCAATCCCCAGAAACCATTCTTTTTTTCAAGGTCGAAGAGATAACTCAGTGGTTAAGAGGGTGGTTGCTTAGCTGAGCAGTGATGGTGCATGCCTTTAATCCCAGCACTCAGGAGGCAGAGGCAGGTGGATCTCTATGTAGGCCAGCATGGTCTACAGAGCTAGTTCCAGGAGAGCCAAGGCTACACAGAGAAACCCAGTTTTGTAAAAACAAAAACAAGAGTGTGGCTGTTCTTCCAGGAGACCTGGAGCACCCATACCTCTGCTCATAACCATCTGTAACTCCAGTTCTAAGGAATCCAATGCCCTTTTCTGGCCTCCATGGGCACCAGGCACACATGTGGTACATAGACATACATGCAGACAAAAGACCATATACATAAAATAATAGTAAGAGTAAGAAAATGGAAGGGAGGGAAGGAGGGGGGGAAGAGAAGGAGGAGAAGGAGGAAGAAGAAAGCTTGGAAGTGATACTTGCAATCCCAGCTCTAGGGAGGCCCTGACTAGTGGATCCTGGGACCCACTGGCCAGCCAGCCTCACCTACTTTATGAGTTCCAGGCCAGTGAGAAAGTCTGTCTCCAACAAATAAGGTGGCAGCCACCTGTGTCTAGAGGTGTCAAAGGCATCTTTTCCCAAAGGGAGCAGTCACCCAGAGTGACACTCTAATAGCTGGAGTCCAACGTGGGTATAGATTCTTTTTTTTTTTTGGGGGGGTGGCTGGAGAGACAGCCGTGGGTGCTGGGAACCGAACTCTTATATTTTTGGTTGTGAGCCTAGCCTTTAACGGCTGAGCCATCTCTCCAGCCCCTCTTTTTTTTTTTTTTTTTTTTTTTTAAAAAAGATTTATTTATTTATTATGTATACAGTGTTCTGGCTACATGCATGCTTGCAGGCCAGAAGGGGGCACCAGATCGAATTATGGATGGTTGTGAACCACCATGTGGTTGCTGAGAATTGAACTCAGGACCTCTGGAAGAACAGCCAGTGCTCTTAACCACTGAGCCATCTCTCCAGCCCCTGTGGGTATAGATTCTTACAGTGACATTTGGGCACAGTCCAGTCTGAGACTCTTCCTCTGTATATAGGGCTCGTCACCCCCATCCCAGTGACAGGCAGTGTCAGAGCAGTGAGCATCCGCGGTGTTTGTATGGAGTCTCTCCTATCCTGTGCAAACAGGATCATCTTTAGTGCCAACCCTCCCCCACCCCCTTCGGTAACACAACCCTTCCCTCTTACCTGCCCAGAAATTTGCATATTGGACTCACCTTGAACTCCTGCTGTGGCAGACACTAAACAATGGATCAAATGGCAGAGTTGCAAGGCCTCGGGTAGAAGCCAGGGCTGTTTGCTCCTTAGAAGAAGACCGGGGACCAACCACCCTAACTGACTGGAATTTTGTACATGGTGCTCAGTTTTAGAAAGCGTTTAGACCAGACCTGGCATGTGGCAAAGGATCAGCAAATAAGGGCCATTGTTTTGGCTGCTGGAAGCCACTAGTGAAAATACAGAATGTTCCTTGGGAGAGAAGGGCACAGGGGTAACTAATGGACCAGTAGGGTGGCGTCTTTTCAGACACTCTTGTCGTGTGCATCCTTTATAACAGAGGTGCAAGGATGTCACAGAGACCAGCCACTAAGAAAGAATAAAAACCAGTGGGTACGTCTCAGTGGATGTAATCTTTAAGGACCTCACAGGTATCTGTGGCCCCCAGACCACATTCCCTGTAAGTCCTTTATCCAGGAGACTTCTCCAGCAGAGGCCATGTTGGAGTTCTGTCCTACCTCCCTGGTCCTTGATCCGGTCTCTATGACACTTGTCAAAAGTACTTGTCAGGGCATCCAGGTCCCTGTGTGATATGCTGCCCCACCCCCAGATCATGATCTCCTCCAGAGAAAGGGTTCATCCAGGGAAACCCCAGAAAAGTGTAAGGCTCAGTAGGTGGCAAGTACTGGCACGTACCTCGAGTGAAGACATCTGGAGGTAAAGGCCTGCTATTACAGCTTGACCAAGAACAGCCTCCCCTGGGCCTGGAGGGCAGATGTAGATTGGGGAGTCCTAAGAAACTGGAGTGGGTGAGAGGGTGGCCGCTGCTCCTGCTGGTCCCTGATAGTTCAAGTTCACTAACTGAAGAAAGGATGGTGGGGGAAATCTGCAGACCTGGGGCTGCAGGGGGCCAGAAGATGTCCCAGGTGGCTCTTCTTAACCTCCACGAGAGGAAAGCACATGGGGCAGGATACTTATTTTTAATTATGTGTGTGCACCTATGTGTATATATGTGCACATGTGTACAGGTACCCTCAGAGGCCAGAAGAGGGCATGGGTGGTAGGTAAGTGGATCCAGGTCCTCTGCAAAAGCAGTACTTTCTCTTAACTGCTTAGTCATCTCTCCAGCCTAGGAGGTGGGTTATTTTATCAAAGCACTTCCTAATTTTCGTGTGTGTGTGTGTGTGTGTGTGTGTGTGTGTGTGTGTGTGCAAACCTTCATGTGGCTGCACGAGCATATGTGCACACAAGGTCATTCTCATATGTCATTCCTCTTCTTTTTTATTGACTGGAAGGAGAACGTAAGGCTTGCTGTATCTGTGGTCAGGGGTCTGTAATTCTCTTCTAGGCTTACTTTATTACTAGATATTATTAATAGAGAAACAGAAACTTTAAGTGGATTTGAATAAAACCAGAATGACTCTTCCTAGTGCTGGAGGTGGTAGGGCTTAGATCTGTCAGTTCGGAAATTATATATATATATATATATATATATATATATATATATATATATATATATATATAATTTATTTAATTTTATTTTATGTGTGTTTGTATGAAGATTCCCTGGAACTGGAGTTAGAGACAGTTGTGAGCCGTCATGTGGGTCCTGGGAATTGAACCCGGGTCCTCTGGGGGAGCAGCCAGTGCTCTTAACTGCTGAGCCATCTCTCTAGCCACCCCACCCCCCAGTCCTGGAACTCACTCTGTAGCCCAGGCTGGCCTTGAACTCACAGAGATCTCCTGCCTCTGCCTCCTGAGTGCTGGGATTAGAGGTGTGTGCACCACTACCTAGCTAGGCTTATTTTTTAATGTGCCTGCTTGACTGTATGCACACCACGTGTATGTAGTGCACTTGGAGACCAGCAGAGGGCATCAGATTCACTGGAATTGGAGTTCCATGCACTTGTGAATCACCCAGTGTGGGTGGTGGGAGCTGAGCCCAGGTCCTCTTCAAGAACAGTCAGTGCTCTGAGCTGCTAAAAGACGTAGCTCCCACCTGTCACACATTTTAATTGAGTCTGGCCCTCCAGGGATACTGGCTCCAGGTTGGCTTGGAAAACCTGTAAGAAAGAGCAGCTGTAGAGGAGTGTAATCTGAAGACCAGAGAGAGCCTGGTAATGTCATCATTGCCTCTGTTGGTGCCCCTGGATGGCTCTGAAGCCAGCGGTAGGGAAGAGAGACAGCCACAGCGCTCTCTGCTTAGCAGGGCCTAGTGCTCCAGGCCTGAAGCCCGGCTTCCCTTTGGCCTGGCCCCCTCTGGATGGTGACGATACCTTGCATGTCAACTCCAAATGCTACCTGGGTTTTCTTTTGCTGGTTCCCTTCTGGAGTCCCCCCCCCCC